CGGCGGGCGGCCCATCAGTTCTGTGGCGCAGGCTGCGGCCGGCGCCAGGCCCGGGTGGGCAGGGGCTCCGGTGCCCCTAGTTCGCGGGCGCGGCTTCTTCATTTCCAGGTGTTCTGCGGGCTTCCGCCTACTCGAGTTATGCTGGGTTTACCACGGAAAACGCCACCGTTTGGAATGTCACCTCTCTTTCCTGGAAAACGTTGTCACGTGTCTTATAGTATCAAACGTCCACGTCTCGGCATCTACTGTTGGAACTTCCCGCCTCCTCCGAGTCCTCCCCGTTCCCAAACCTGTGGGCCGTCAGACCGCGCCCAGCTTTCCCTTCCCTCGGACGCAACCTTTTAGGGTCTGGGAGCAAAGTTCCCTCTCACCAGCTTAAACCCTGCCTGATACCCAGACACCAGCCAAAGGTGTTGCTGAAAATAATGAAGGTCTGAAATGAGGTACATTCACTGTAAAACCGAGACCTGCAAGTCAACGAAAACTTTCAGTGTAAGATGACTTCCCGTCAGAGCTTATGTGCACGGTTCCAGAAGAGAACGATGCCAGGTAACTTGGAGAAATAAGGCCTCGGGACCCGTTTTTCTTTTTGTTTTTAATAAAAAGGTACCATGATGCCACCTGATCTAGTAACCGTCCAGAAAAAAGTGTTTTCGGCTAATGCAGCAATTTTCACCCTTTTTCTTCTCATGGCACATAAAGCAATGGCTAAACTCTGCAGCACATCAAAACATACACTTTTGGCCAATCTGACCAAAACAATAGGTGTAATTTTGTTCATTCACACTGGACAGCGATTGCTGCGTTGGCTGCTGTCACTTTTTATTGGACAAGCTAAGGGAAGAGAGGTCAGAGGCCCGGACCAAGCAGCCAGGTGTTGACGGTTTTCGGGATCCTGCGGCGCCGGCGCGCTGTTTGGAAACCGCCGTCTGAAGTGCTATCACCGGCCGTCACCCAAAAGACCGAAACATTTCCCAAAACCTAAACTACAGAACCTAAACTGCAGAGGATTCCCGGGCCAAGGAGGGCCGGGCGCAGAGTCCCAGGCCGGGGGTGTTGTGTGCAAAGAGGGCCGCGGGCAGAGGGGCCGTGAGCAGAGGCGCAGAGGGGCCGTGAGCAGAGGGGCCGTGAGCAGAGGGGCCGAGTGCAGAGGGGCCGTGAGCAGAGAGGACAACACCTGACACCTAATGGGATTGAACAGCCCGGGGCCACAGGCTGTAAACACAGGGGCCCCTCCCAGTCAGGGACAAGGTGCCGCGGGCCGAGCGCACCTGTCCCCATTCCTTGACCACAGAAGGAAGTTTCTGCCCCGCCTGGTGTGGCTCAGCGGATTGAGCACCAACCTGCGCACCAAAGGGTCGCCAGTTCCATTCCCAGTCAGGGCCGAGGCCTGGGTTGTGGGCCAGGTCCCCAGTGGGGGGCACATGAGAGGCAACCACACATGGATGTTCTTCTCTTTCTCTCTCCCTTCCCCGCTCTCTAAAAAATAAAATCTTTGAAAAAAGAAAATGAAGTTTCTACTCTGTTTTTCTGAGCTCAGGCCTGTCCTATCGGCGCCCACGGCATCGGGCAGGAGGACCTTGGTTTGGGTCCTCGACCCGGAAGGTCGGTCACAGAGCCTGTGAAATGCGAGCTGTGTTATTATTAGCGATGACCCCGTTCACTTAGACCCTTGATTCCATTTACTTGAAATATAACTCAGAGCAGACAAAACAACTTGGAAAAAATAAAACTGCTTCAGCGGAAACTTGCCACAACATCTGCCGGAAAGATGAGCAAAGCCGGGACTCAATGTCGCAATAGGCCAATCGGATCAGCGTTTTATTTGAAGAAGGATCAGTAAAAGATTTCACTTATCATAAAGAAAACACGCGGTGGGGCCCCTCGTCTCCGTCCCAGGGAATCTGCCGTGGGGCCTGGCGGGGTGAGCTGGGAACGCTGAGATTCTCCAAAACAAATGTCACTTCCCACAGGAAATGGGATTACTCTCCAGAAGTTTCTGAGTTTCCGACAAGAATCCTGGCTTGTCATCAGCCCCCAAACGCCCGCGAGTGCTTACAGTTTTCTGAGCATTTTTATGTTTTCTTAGATGTTTTATATATTCTGCCTTCCGGAGGGGAAAATGTCCGAGAGGCGTGAAACAAGGGGAGTGAACACCGCCCCCTCCTGCCCCCCAGAGCTCTGGGCCACAGGAGGGCCCCTCCCTGTCGGCGGCCGGGAGTAGGCACCGCGCTCAGTCACGCGTCCCCTTCAACGCGCAAGGCTCGTGGCCGACACAGGGCTCAGACCCCGCCTTGAGGACTCGCAGTCGGTCGGCCGGGGAGATGCTCATAAACCAGGGGTCGAGCTGTAACGGAGACCTGGGCAGAGAGCCGGGGAGGGGGCACAGGGAACCGCCTACGTCGCGCCAGAACCAGGGAGCCTCCGGGTGGGTCCGCAGCGGAGTCACGGGTGAGCTAGGAGTCGCCGGGAAAGGGGGCCGATGACAGCAGATGGAGCTGGTGGGTGACAGAGGCAGCCCCCGCCAGCCACCCCCGCAGCCTCAGATCCTCGCGGCCATGGCGGCGAAGGCCAGGCTCAGGCTGAACGCTCGACGGAGCTCAGAATCGAGCCTAGGCCCCCAGTCCCCCGGGCAGGCGCCCGCACATTTTCAGCAGGAGAGCAGAAGGCCAGCTGTGCATCTGGGAGCAGAAGGCCGCCACCTCGGGGGTCAGAGGGCCTCCGTCCGCAGGCCAAGGGACCGGACGTCAGGCCGAGGCTGCGGCCGGGCCGCCGCAGGAGGGGCCTGCGGCGCCCAGGCCCGGGAGAGGTGGGGGCGGGTTCTGCAGAGCCGGGCCGTGGGTGTGCGGGAGGCTGAGGAGGAGCCGGGCACGCATCTAGAGGTCCAGCTGGAGGGACTCCCAGCCGGCTGAGGCCGCCTCCAAGAGGGGGCCCAGAAGAGACCCTGGCCTGGGGGTTGCAGACGGGCCTGGCAGGGCTCTTGGCGGACACCCCAACGGCACAAAACGGCCAGGGATGAGGCGGGGGCAGCGAACACACCAAGTCCGAGTCCCTGGGGGCGAGGAGGGTGCCGCCCCGGGCCTGGAGGCGACAGACCGGCCCTGTCTCTGCACTGGGGTAACCAGAGCCCCTTCCCGCCATGCCCTGTGGCCACCGCGGCCGCGTCTCGGGGACGCACGGCACGGGGGACAGGCAGCTGCAGAGAGGCCAGAGGCCGGCGGAACGAGCTGGGAACGGGGCAGACGATGGTCGTAAACAAATCAACAGAGCTCTGTCTTCCTTCTTCAGAGGCAATGTCCCCAAGTCACCCTGGAAGGTCACCGCTCGCCCCTTCCCACGGCCGAGCTCTGCTCACTCGTGGGAGCTGCGGCCTCGAGCCGGCTCGCGGGGGCGGCCCCTCCCGCCCGGGCCCTGCGGCCACGGCTGCTGACCTCCCACAGGGTGGGCGGGGGCCGCGGGGCCGGGACCCTGTGTCTGCCCGGGGCCCTGTCCCTGCGTGACTCCCGCCGTGGCCGGGTGACGGGCAGTCCCTGTGCGCCACCTCCCCCCCAAGCACAGAGGGGACCGGGGACCCGAGGGGAGTGGAGCGACTATTTTTTTCTTTTTCCTTCAAGTATTAAAAATAAAATTTAAAAAAGACTTGCTCTGGAGAACCGCTCAGGGTCTGGCAAACTTAGAAACAGGAAGGGGCCCCAGCTGCTGCGGCTCAGGGGGCGGGGCGCCGGCCTGCGAACCAAAGGGTCTCGGGTTCGATTCCCAGTCAGGGCTCAGGCCTGGGCTGCTGGCCCAGTCGCCAGCAGGGGGCGCGCGAGAGGCAACCACACAGGGACGTGTCTCTCTCTCTCTCCCCCTCTCTCTAAAATAAATAAATAAAATAAAGTAAAAAAGGAAATGGAAAAATGATTCTTAGAGAGGAGCCTGGGCTGGTATTTTCCCTGCACCTCCAGGCTCTATGTTCACACGTCCCCGAGGGACCGTCACCTGCGGAGGTGACGCCTGCGGCTCAGGCAGGACGCGGAGACACCCCAGTTCTGCAGGACGCCTGCCACAGCCCCGCACGCCTGTCGCGGGGGAGAGGGACCAGAGCCTCGCAGCCGCTGAGGGGGTCCCTTTGTGTCTCTTTCTCCGGAGACGGCCCTTAGCTCTCACCCGACCCGGAAGAAGCCCTGTTACTCTGGCCCGTCCAGACCCTGCCTGTCCGACGCATCGCAAGCGTGACTCTCGCGGTGGGAGAGGAAGAATTCAGGACACAGGCCCCGTGGCCGTGAGGCGGCCGCCCTGTGCCCTGCTTCCCAGGGAAGAGAACCTGGGAGGAGGAGGAGGCAGGCTGGGCCATCGGGGTCTGCCCCTCGGGCATCTGCAGAGCCTCCACCTGCCTCTCCTCACAGGTGACCCGAGTGAACTCGACCCTCGCAAACCCACCAAGCAAGTCTGCGAGCCAGGGCGCGCCGGCCCTGTGGCCAGAGCACGGGGCGGCAGCAGGCACGGAGAACGCACACTCTCCGCCTTCCGCTCCTTCCCCAGAGTTGGCGTGGGCGCAGGGAAAGGAGAGGCTCTGAGCGCTCCCCGGCAGCCACCCCTCCCCCCGCCCCCGGACGTCTCTGTGGGGCGCCGTTCTGTCCACAAGCAGAAAGGGTGCACGGGCGTGCGTCTCCCGGGCAGCACCCGCCGGGGCGCCCGGCCCGCGGGCCAGGACCGGCCTCTACGTCAAACGCTGACGCACACACAGCGACGTGCAAGCGGGGAGCCCACGGGGAAGCGACCCCGTAGCGTCATTTACTTCCCAGTCAGGGCGCCCGGCAGACCAGCCCGCGGGGCAGCGGTCCAGCGCCTGGGCGCCGCTGCGCTGGCGGCAGCTCTCACGACTTGGGTCCCAGCGTCCTCCGGAGACGAAGCTGCGGATGCGCGTGTCGCGCAAGGGACCCGGGGACAGGAAAGCAAGGCCGCCGGACACACAGAGCCGTACACCCCAGACACGGGTCTTTACTACAACAGGGTTTGCATGAGCACATGACAGTGGGGGCTTCGCTTTGCGGCCCAGGCCCTTGGCCTCTGAGCACACGGGGCTCACACGTGTGGCAGGCGTGGAGACTGGGCACGTGGGTCCTTCCTGGGCAGTGGTATCGGGACAAGGAGGGGACGTGACCTCCCGGCCGCTTGTGACCCGCTCAGGCGGCGCTGTGCGCCTCCATGTACAAAACGACACAGTACTAAAAACATGGTACAAAACGACATCATAAATAACACAAGGGGGGGATCTTCAAGTATTTCACGTCTCGAAAAGTTGCAGGCGGCAGTTCTCACAGTTCGCCCCCTGCCCGTGCCTCCACCGAGTCTGTCTCGGAGCCTGGAATCGCGGGCCCCGCCCCGCTGGCCGGCGGGGGGGTGCGCGAACGGCTGCCGCTCAGGACAGCGGCGACTTCCAGTTTGCAGAAAGGGGCTCCTTTGATGATGTCACCTTTCCCGGGGGGCTGGTTTAGCGCGTAGGCGTGTAGCTCAGAGACCACAGGACACCGACACCCACCACCGGGAAGTCAGGAGCCCCGCGTGACAGCCACGTTCTCAGGAAACTCAGCGTGAGAAGCGCACCTTGGCTGGCAGAGGAGGAGCGCGGAGGAGGGGACCCAGGCTTTGCGTCCCGAGCTCTCCCTCAGCCTGCGCCGGACGGCCCAGCCCAGCCCCAGCCCCACCTCCCGGCCCCATACCCACTGGGCTGCGGGCAGCGGTGCCTCAGGCACCTGGGGCGGAGAGGGGAGGCCCTAAGGGACCGCAGCCCAGGACAGCCCTGCAGCCAAGGACAAGGCTCTTTGTGACCTTTGCTCTTCAGAATACGGCTCGGGGAGGAGGAGGTCACAGTTGAATCGGGCATGGCGCCCCGGAGGGTGGCAGCCACGGCCCGCGGGTCGGCCGGCAGGAGCTGGTTCAGTGTGTCCTGCTCCGTCACAGGATAAAAACCGGGGACCAGACATGCATGCAGGTGTGTACACGCCGGTGCCTGGGGCCTGTCTGTCCGTTCTCATGGGGACGTGCGTGCGTGCGTGCGGATGCTCACACACACATGCGCACACAATCAGCCGCCCTCACCGAGACACCCACAGTTCGCAGAGGATCCTGGCTAGCGGAGCCCATGAGCCTGCGGGTGCCGCGCGACGTGGACCCTCCGACCTGCCCACCTGAGGCCAAATCGCGGGGCGGACAGAAAGGCCAACAATCTCTAAAAATCCAGGCCTACCGGGCTGGTGTGTGGAAAACTGCTTCCCTGGTACCCTAAAAAAATGGGGTGGGGCGTTGGACTGGAATGAGGGCCTGGCCCGATGAACATGGAAACACAGACACTAAATCTAGTGAGCGACGTGGGGCAGGCGGCAGGGGAGCGAGGCTCCGGCGTGGAGGCGCCCCTGCTGCCTCAGGCCGCAGCCGGCCTCGGGGTCCCCGGCTCCGAGTCCCAGCCTCTCTTCCGTGGCCGCCGGGGGGACTAGGCGCACTGGGGCACCAGGGAAGGGCAGTCTGCGGCCCGCTTGGCCCCCGTCTGCTTCTCGGACGCGCAGCCGGCAGGGCCGGCCAGCTCCAGGTAGAAGCGGGACTTGAGGAAGCGGCGGTAGGAGTCCTTCTCCATCAGATGGAAGATCCGCCTCTGGGCCTCGTCGAAGCAGGCGGCTGTGGGCGCCCGCACGTTCCGGCTGGTCTCCTCCCGCGTGCTGGCATCCAGGTTGACCTGCGGGAGCCCGGCCAGGTCACACCACGTCCCGGGGAGGGCGGCCCTCAGCCTGGGCCGCCGGGCGCGGCCGCACCTGCCGCTCTTCCTCACCAGCGGGGGAGAGTCCTCAGAAAACTCACCTACGTCCTCTGGGTAAAAGAGCCTTTTCCTCGACTGAGACTCGGGGGTTCTCAAGACTAGAGTGAGTGGGTCCGCTGCTCTGTCTTTCCCTCCCACCCAGTGGCCCGAGCGCCGGGCCCCGGCCGCCAGCCCCGGGGAACCTCGCCGCGACCCCACGTCTGCGCCACAAAGACCCACCTCCTTGGTTGCCTGGACCGAGATGAATTCGTCGTAGATCTTCTTGGCCTTGGGACTCAGCTTGGCGGGCGACTTGATCTTCTTGTACTCTTCGCAGCTGACCCAGAAGTCGATGTTCTCCTCGCTGTACTCAGATTTCAGGAAAGCTCTGAACGCCGCCAGTCCGCCTGGCACAGGGGAGGCAGGAGCGGCTGTCACCCCAGGGGACCCCCGGACCCCGTGTTTCAGACGCAGCCCCGGTGCTGGAGGGAGCGGGACAGGGTTCAGACGATGCCCCTCCCCCATCTTGTAGGGTCAGTTTGGGGCCGGGACCCATAATCTAAGTTTGTATGTTCTGCCGGGTCCGGCCACACCCGGTGCTTCCGTGGGTTTGGGGAAGAGACACCGAGGTTGATTCTGCAAGAAACCTCAAGATTTGGAGTCTTCCCTCTACCTTTTCCCCACCGTTTCTGCATGAACCTCCCGCTGTAGGGACAACGCTCCCGGGCACGTCACACGCTGAAGAGGCTGGCTCTCCGGAGCCCGGGGGCCTGTCTGCCGTGTGAAACACGTGCGTCCCAGGGCCTTACCCCGCTCCGGGGGGGGGGGGGGGGGGGCGGGGCGTGGGGCCGGGGGTCGGACTTACATTCATGGCTAATCAGGTTTTCCAGGGATTCGGCCCACTTTTTGACCTCCTCTCGGCTCACCCTGAAGAAAGAGAACAACGTGAAGGCCGCAATCCGGGGCCGGGGGAGTGAACGGAAGACCCCGAATAAAGGCAGAGGTGTGACTTCCCGCCGCTCCGCTCGCACGAGGCGGGCCGCGGCCGCCTCCCCCCACACGCTCGGCACCTCGGGCTCCGCGGGGCCTCCCGGCCGACGGGGGCGTCTTCTCCAAACCCGCCCGGACGGGGCCAGTGCCCCCGTCTGCTCCGGAGGGACCCCGGGGCCGCCGCGGCGCCCCCGCCCCTCACCTCTGGCAGAGGACCAGCTTGTCCTTCCTGCCCTGGGTGGGGCCGTGGTCGCAGGAGTCCCACCTCTGCCGCAGTGCCCCCAGCCGGTGCTTCATGTCTTTCGCGCTGCACAGAAAAGGGGAGAAACAGCGAATCAGGGCCACCGGCTCCCTCTCAGAGACGCCCCAGCGGCGAGAGCCGCGCGGTGCGGAAGCGGGGCTGCAGGTGCCGAGCTCCCCGGGGCGGCGAGGCCTCGCCTGTGTGTGCGGCTGCCTGGGACCCGGGACAGACCCACGGGCCGCCCGGCCGGCAGCCTCGCCTGCGACCTGCCACCTTCACCAACAGCACGCGGTGGGGGAGGGGTCTCAGCAGAAGCGGGGGGGGGGGGGGGGGGGGCGGGGGCGGGGCCTGGCTGCCCTGGAGCAAGCCTAGGACTGGGAGCCACCAGCCCTGAGACAGGACACCTGCCTGTGGCGCCACCTCCTGGACAGCAGTCGCTACTGCCACCGCTGGCTGCTGGCCTGGGACGGCTCAGCACCTGGGGCAGGTGGCCCGGCACACCAGCCCCCGGGAAGATGGGCCAGCGACCCGCGCAAGGAGTGCGGCCACCGCAGAGGGTCCGGATAGCGAGGCACGGGCCCTGCAGCCCCGGCGTCCCGGGTGCCAGCTGCACTGCAGGCACACCGACACCCCGCAGGGCAGTGGACGCACCAGGACGAGTGGGAGGAGCCAGCGCGGCCCTGGCCGAGGCTGACGGTCGGGGGCGGCCGGAGTGACGGGCGCAGGACTCGGGCACCGGGGCCCCTCGGCCCGGCCCCTCGCTCTTGGCTAATTGCTCCTCGGCGCGGGTGCCCTTTAGGACAAAGCCCAGAGGTCGCTTCAAAGGAGAGATGTCCTTTAAGAAGAAGTGGAAGGAGATTTTTCATCCCCCTTCCTGCTCAGGGGGAGAAAAGCAACGCCGTCGTCTCAGGGCGCCCACGGAGGGGCGTGCGGGCCCCAGAAAGCTTGGGTTTGGGGAGTGTGGGGCCGCCCCTCGGACAGAGTCTCCCTCACGGGAGCCTTCGCCTCCTCTGCGCCCCGTCCTGGTCAGGGGCGTGAACTCCTCCGCAATGACACGAGCTGTCGCCGTGAAGCCTGCAGTCATAGCCTAAGGGGACGGCATCCGTGAGCTGTGTTCCGTCACAACACAGATCGGCTGTCGCCTCCGCGAGCCGGCCGCCGAGCTCAGGCAGGCGCTGCTCAGCACGGAGCCTCCGCACGCCGAGGCGGCTCGCCCTCCACCGCAGCGCCCCCAGGAGGGCAAAACCCTCACGGGCGCATGGCCGCCAGAGTCGGGACGCCCCGGTTGGCTCCACACGCTGCCCCCCACGCCCCACCTCTGTGGCCTTGGATCTCGGACACAGACGCTGGAAGGGAGGCGCCGGACCAGGCGCCCGCTGCTCCGCGGGAAGGACAGAGGCCGGCAGCCCGCCTGCGGCGTGGGGTCACCCGCCGGTGGGCTCCTGGCGGGCTGAGCTCCAGGGTCTCATCGGCACCCCCAACGTGCACCGAGCGCAGCTCCCCCCGCCCGGGCTGTGCAGGGTCGATCTCCCGGGAGAGGCCCCGAGGCGCGGAGGACGCGTCTCACTTCCCGCCAGGGCCTCCTGCCTCGCGCGGAGCCGCCCGGACGGGACCGTTCCTCCTGCTGCTGAGTGCCCGGCAGCCTGAGCGCTGCGTGGCTCGGGACCGCCCACGGCGGCGCTCTCCGGGAGGTTTCCCCTGGAAACCTGAGGCAATCGCTCTGCCGGGAGCGGGAGCAGGCGCGTCCCTGCTGCCCAGCCTCCGCCGCCCAGAGCTGGAAGGAGCGCGGTTCTATCTCCCTTTGGCTGCCTGCTGCACAGGCCTCTCTGAAAACAGCTATTTACACCCTTCTTTAAAAGTCAAAGATGTGTAACTGCATCGCTTTACAGATTCTTTTTTTTTTTTTTTTGTAATCAAGACCCCGTACGTGACAAAACCACGCATCTAGGGGGAGACCTGCCCCAGAGCCCTGAGCCAGAGAGCGACGGCCACTTCTAACGGCCACCCACACCAGGCACTTCAGGAACTGGACAGAGGCGCCGAGGGGTGGGGGTCCAGTTCTGAAGCCACGTGTGGCTGTGACATCGGTGTATAGGAACACAGACCGTGGCCGATACTCAGCCCCACAGAGAGGCAGAGTGCGCTCCGGGGCGGCGGCCGACCTCCCGCTGGCTGGGGTGCCCCCTACACGAGACCCAGCGCATTGGCCGTCCGGGGGGCCGACCTGGCCGGAGGGTCACAAGGGCGCTCATGGCCAAGGTCGGTCCCAGCGCCCTCGCGGTGCCCAAGCGGCGGCGGGGCGGGTGGGGGGGGCGGGGGGCGAGGGCGCGCACACTCGCCGCTTCAGCCGCAGCGGCACCAGGACTGGAATCCCAGCGCAGCGGCCGCGGCCGGGCGAGGCTCAGGCTGAGGGTCGGCTTACCTCCTCAGGCACGAAGCCGGCAGCCCCGCGAGGCCCTTGCACATCTTTGCAGCCGGAGTACGAGTCCGCAGGGAGGAAGGCAGCCGGCGGAGCTGGTGCCTGCGAGTGCTCGGGCCTCTTTGCTCTGAAGATGCTGTCGGCACTGCGGCTCCTCCCCAGCCGGCAGGTCCCTTTTAAAGCCCAGCCAGAGCCTCCCGGCAGCCAATGAGCGGCGCCCGGACCCCCCCCCCCCCCCCCCCCCCCCCCCCCCCCCCCCCGCCGCTGCAGCCTCCGCAGAGATGGGGGGCGGGATGAGCTTGCACAGCGCACAGCGAGCCGCAGAGACGCCGCGGGCCAGGCAAACACATAGAAAATAATTTCCTCCTTGTCTCTACAGGCGTCTGAGGCTTCGAATTTCTAGAAAAGGGACCTGGCTGACAATGCTACACACCATGGGGTCCACTCATTTTTCTGTGAAAACAATGTTGCGGGAAGCTGCCTCCTGGCTGAGGGCTCCCACCGGAGTTGGGCTTGGCTGGGGGACTGTCCCCACACTGGCTTCCTCCAGGGCAGAGACAGAGGATCACAGGGCGCAGCTTTCTCCCCACCCCACCCCTGTGCCCGGGCCAGCGCCTGCAGACACCGCCCCCCGTGGGCCTCGGTCTCGGCCACATGCGTCCGGCCCAGGAGAACGCTTCTGGGACCTTACGCAGAGCAGACTCAGCCCAGCAGGGGCAACCGCTGCGCCCCCTAAGAAGAGCCAGCATCGCGGCGGGGGGGGGGGCCGGGGAGGGGACAGCGCACCAACAGACGCCCCCTCTCATCTGCAGAGAGACTCACATCCTATCCTGTCTCACACCTTCTAAGTCTCCAACGCGGATTCCAAAATACCGAGAGGAGGACAGAGGAAACAACAGACCGTTTGCCTGGCGCGCCTGCCGCCTGCAGCTGCTTCCGGGCACCTGCACATCAGTGGCTGGTTCTCGACACGCCGGACTGATTGCTTCAAAGAACCAGGCAGGGGTGTCCGCGGCTGCGCCCCGGCACCCACAGCGGGTGCACACGGGTCTTGTCCCTGCAGCAACGCGGGCAGTGGGGGTGGGGATGAAGGCACAGCCCCCGTGTGAGGCCCCAGCAGCTCTCGTTTTCCAAGTGGGCAGCGCCCGGGCGGGGGAGGACCAGCAGGTCGGGCGTCGTCCTGCAAACCAACAGGTCATGGGTCGGATTCCCGGTCGGGGCACAGGCCTGGGGGCGAGCGGGGCAGGCGCAGGGCCGCGCCAGCTGCGGTGGGCGCAGGCCGATGAGTTAGCGGGGTCAGCAGGTGGCCGACGGGCTTCGTGTTGCAAGACGGGTGTTTCCTCCCAACCCCTCAGTAGATCTCATGTCCCGGACGTTCCGGGAGGCTCTGGCGACCTAAACATGGGTCTGAAATGGCTGTGCCTCGCAGGAGCCCTCCCCCATGGGGAGACCCTCCAGGGACCGGAAAGCTGTCACTGTGAACTCATCTACCCAAAATTCGAGGGACGCACAGGGGACGCGAATAAACACGACCCTTGACATCTGGAGCTGCGTTTTCACGCGGGAGGACCGTTCACAGGCGAACGGAGACGCAGGGGGCGTGTGAAGGAGGGGAGCCCGGTCCAAGGAGGCGCAGCGGCCCCAGCCAGCGCCACGGGGCACTAACGCCCGGGTGGCTCACTCGATCCTCCCAGCCCGTCCGGACAGACGGCCCCACGGGGCCCCCGCCTCACGGAGGCGCCGCCCAGGGTTGAGGTGGGCCACCCGTGGTCACACGCCCCCCGAGCGGGGGACACGGGAGACCGGCTGAGGCGCTCCGGCCTCTGCTCCTAGCGTCTGTGCCGCCACCACCGGAAAGGGCCCAAGGGCGCGTTGGAGCCCGTAGCCACGGCGCGCGTGACCGTGGATGTGGGGAGAGGGGAACGGCAGGTCCCCGAGACCCAACGGCTGCTTCTTGTCCCACTGGAGACCACATTTCACCCCGTGGTCGCTGGGGGACCCCCCGGGGTGGCCCCACAGGGAGGAGATGAGACGAGAGAAACCAAGCCGGCTATTGCGGCGTCCGTGTGAGAGATGAATGTGGTACAAACACCGCCGCCGAGGCTGTAGTGAGGGTCACGCCCCCCATAAACGCTGCACGCACAGAGGCTGCACCGTGCGGGCCCCGCTGGGGGACCCGAGGCCACACACGGCCGGACGCGAGCAGCGTGTGGGCTGCAGGTAAACGTCCAGTTTCCCCGCCCTTCGCTCAGCGAGGACAAAAGGAAACATTGCTGAAGCCCTGGCAGGACCCGATACAAGGAAGTGAGCCGCTGAGGCCGCACCGCGTTCTCGGACCGGGTCCCCACGGGGCACCCCCGCACTGGCAGGGGAGGGAGGCTCCGCCGCCCGGCGCCCACGCCCCGCGCCCCGCGCCGATTTCCCCTCAGCGGGCGGGCTGCCCTCCCCCGCCACCGTCCACTGCAATGGCCTGTTGTCAGCGAGGGTTCATGGTTATTGATTTTTCAGGCTACAGAGCAAACACAGCAGCGGGGGACGCGGACACTGGGGCAGCGGCCGGGGACTTCCCAGCGCCTCCTGCCTGCGGGGCGGGGGCCCCAGGTGCGGGAAAGGGCGGTGGATCCCAGCAGAGCCCCCCACCCCTGCCACTGGACGGCGGCGCCCGGGGCCGGTCACACCCGATCAGCCGGGGGTGGGGCGTGGGGGAGCCTTTCTTTCCCAAGGAGTAAGGGAAGCGCCACGACGCCTGTCCCCGAAGCCTCGCACCCCCGGCCCCGCCCAGGGCAGAGCGCAGGCCACGCTCACAGCTGCGTGCTGCCCGGGGCTCCTGTCGCTGTGCTGGTGGACGGGCGGCTCCGTCCCGCGCGCGCCTGGGCCTCGCCGTCCGGCAGGCTCAGGATCGCCTGCTGCCCCCTCCCCAGGCGGCTGGGGGTCCTGCCCGCAGCTGCCCCAACAGCGACCGGGACCGCGGTGACCGGCCAGTCCCAGGGCCCAGGAGGGTCTGCTGACGCCGTGCGCGAGGAAGGGGAGATGCAAGGCGGCCGCCACCGCCGCCGTGACCGGGGAGACCGGGGGCGCTGCGGACTGTCAGCCTCGACGGGGGGAGGGCAGCACCGATTTTCGCACCGATCGGCATCTCTTTAAAAAGCAACCTCGGGAGCGCAGGCCGGTGGTTCAGTGGGGGGAGCGTCGCCCCATCCCCGAAAGGTCGCGGGGTCGATTCCCAGGCGGGGCACAGGCGAGGCTGTGGGTCCAGTCCCTGATTCAGGCTCGAACAGGAGGCCCCAATCGATGCTTCTCTCTCGCATCAACGTTTCTCTCTCTAAAAAGAAAAAAGGTCCTCAGGTGAGGATTAAAAACTCAACGCGGGGCATCCCTGCCCTCAGGCGAAAGTGTGGATGCGCCAGCGGGGCCCGCAGGCCTGACCCTCACGCCCTGACCCCCCGCCCCCCGGGTCTCGCCCAGAGGAGACGCGGGCACACAGGAGGCCGAGCGGCCGGAGGCTCCGGTGCCCGGGGTGGGAAAGCCCCAGGGCGGAGAGACACTTGGGAGGTAACACGAATGAACGGCTCTCCTCGGTCGGCTGCGGAAGGCAAGGGGCCGCCCAAATCCGCCGCGCGTTTCCACGGGCGGGGGGCGACGGGGCCGGCAGGGGCTCGGAGGCCCAGGGCGCCCAGCACGGCCGCCGCGGGCCCCTCTGTCACCCGGCCGACACCCCGCGCCGCGGTTGCCACCGCGAGGCAGATGCGCGGTGGGCTTGGCCGCGTCCTTCAGGGCGCCTCCCGGCCCCACCCCAGCGGGGAGTGAGGGGCGAGCCCCACAGAACTCGGGGCAGGACGGGCAAGGGTTGCGGGAGACGGGTGGGGGGCTGGGGTTCGGGGGGCCTGGCACAGAGACCAGGTCACCTGGCGGGAGCAGGAGGGCCCTCGCTGCCGACAGGCCCTTTGAGGGGCCTGAGGAACGACGGGGGTCTCCAGACGTGAAGTGCGACTCGGTTAGTCCCGGGCCCCCAGCGCGGCGTGGAAAGACCACAGAAAGCCCGGCAGGAAGGGTGGGGGCCCCTTCTACCCCTAAACGGCCCCGGCTGCCCACCGACGGCAGCGGGGGCGCTGCCCAGGCCTCTCCCGCCCTCTTGGCGGCGCCTGCGGAGTCAGGACTCCCCTCGCCCACCCCCCGAGCCCCTGGCTTGGGCCTGGAAGCCCCCCACCCCCGCCGGTGTCAGGCATGGCCGCTGGACGTCTGCGAGCTGCGTGCCCGGACAGGCCTCAGTTCCCAGACTGGGGGTTCGGGCGGGAGGCTGGGGACTCGCCCGCCTGAAAGCGCGGGGGTCTGCGTTCCGGGAGGGCCCGCTGGGCGGGCAGAGGCTGAGCAGAGGGCCCGGCGGGGGCTCAGGCCCCGCGGCGTGGCTTCTTCTCACGTGGTCTCAGCAGGTGGCACCGTGGGCAGCGGAAGAACCGTGTCACGCGGCCGCCAGAGGGATGACTGAGCTGCTGAGTCGGAGGACAGAGGGGGCAGGTGACCCCTCCATGGCCAGAGCCCGCACCGCTTACTTCTCTGCGGCGCCGTTGGTACCATATTCAGCTCCTAGGAGGGAAAGGCACGTTCTGTGGGGGACGTTTCCATCCCAAATCTCTTTCTCAAAAGCGCGCGGAGCAGGATCTAAAACCCGAGCCCCCTCTCCGGGCCCTGCCCCCAACCCCGCCCGCGGACCCCACTGCACCCACAAATGAGAATTAATGTCCCCGCAGTGGCCCTGCCGAGCCAGCTGACAGTAATCACAACCGCCGCGGCTTCCCCTCCAGGCGGAAAGGGTCTAATGCACTTTGGAAAGATTTCTGGCGGTAACTCTTGCAGCTGAGATGTTTTTCAGTCTCCGTTCCAGGTAATTGGGAAATGAGGCCATGATTACGGCCAACGACATTTCCGGCCCAGTTCTGAGTGAAAAGTGCCGTGCGAAGCCGAGGAAGACAGGGCTGCGGCCCCGGAAATCGATCCAGAGACGGGCTGGCCTGCGGGGGAGAGGGAGAGGGCGGGAGCCCTGGGGACGCGTGCCTCGCTCCCAGCGCCGGCCCTGCCGCGTCTCCGCTTCAAGTCCTCCGAACGGGAGGTGGAAGCTGTTCCGTCCAGTTTCACGTCTG